AGCCGAGTGAAAAAATGCGATAAAATATTCATTAAACGTAAAACCATGCAAGAGCCCACCCTCTCTTTGTGATGTTCTCAAAAAAAAAGAGGAGACACCTCGGACCCTCTTTACATATACACTGGCCTCCCTTATTTTCCGTCTTGTTCGTCCCTTTTTTTCTACCCTCCCTTCGTGTTTACTCTATATTTTTTTTCTCTTGCTCCTTCTGCGAAGCACCTAACATATTTGGAATATTAAATGAGTTCCGGGAAATTTACGAGCACAACATGAAATCCCTCGAACCTTTTATTTCAGCTAATAATTATGACTTCCCATTTTCGTGAATATTTTAATAATATTAACGCACGATTTATTAATGATTTAAAGGGGAAACCTCCACTAAAGTTTGAAGTAAAAGTGGATGAAATTGGCCAGAGAATTATATCATTCTGTCTCGTTTTATAAAATATTTTCTTAATTATATAATTTGGTCTCATTTAACGAATAACAGAATATACTTTTTTGTGAACATTTTTGCACAATTTATTAATTATTTAAAGTAGAAACCTTATCTAAAGTTTGAAGTAAAAGTTGATGAATTTGGCCACAGAATTACATCTTTCCTTGTCGTTTTATAAAATATTTCTAATATTTGCAAACATTTTAATTAAATTAGCAATTTTATGCATATTTACTTAATTATATAATTTGGTCTCATTTAACGAAGAACATAATTTTTGTTTTTCAGAATATTTATGCACAATTTATTAATTATTTAAAGTAGAAACCTTCACTAAAGTTTTAAGTAAAAGTGAAAGAAATTGTCCATAAAATTACATCATTCTATTTCGTTTTATGAAATGCTTGTAATATTTGCATATATTTCAACTAAATTTACAATTTTATGCATATTTACTTAATTTTATAATTTATTCTCATTTTACGAAGAACAAAATATATTTTTTAGATAATATTTATGCACAATTTATTAATTATTTATACTAGAATCGTTCGTTAAAGTTAGAAGTAAAAACGAATGAAATTGTCCAGAGAAAATTACATCAATCTGTCTTGTTTTACGAAGAATTTGAACTATTTGCAAATATTTTAATAATATTTACAATTTTATGCATGAATAATTAATTAATAATATATTTTTGAGAAAATTTATGCTCAAATAATTATTTTTTTAAAGTAGAAACCTTCACTAAAGTTAAAAGTAAAAGTTGATGAAATTGGCCATAGAATTACATCTTTACTTGTCGTTTTATAAAATATTTCTAATATTTGCATAAATTTTAACAAAATTAATAATTTTATGCATATTTACTTAATTATATAATTTGGATTCATTTAACGAAGAACAGAATATAGTTTTTTTTCAGAATATTTAATAATTTGTTAATTATTAAAATTTATACTTTTAAGGATAATTAATTATATAATTTAGTCTCATTTTACTAAGTAGAAATTGTATTTCTTGGACAAAATGTATGCACAATTTCTTAATTATTTATACTAGAAACGTTCGATAAAGTTATAAGTAAAAGCGGATAAAATTGTTCTAAGAAAATTACATCATTCTGTCTTGTTTTACGAAGTGCTTAAAATATTTGCGAATATTTTAATAATATTTACAATTTTATGCATTATTTATTAATTATATAATTAGGTCTCGCTTTAGGAAAAACAGAATGTATTTGTGGATGAAATTGCCCATAGAAATATTCGTAATATTTACATACATTTTAACAAATTTAACAATTTAATGCATATTTACTTAATATATAATTTGGTCTCATTTAACGAAGCACAAAATATTTTTTTTTAAATATTTATGCACAATTTATTAATTATTTAAAGTAAAAACCTTCACTAAAGTATGAATTAAAAGTGGATGAAAATGTCCATAAAATAACATGATTCTGTCTCGTTTTACGAAACACTTGAAATATTTGTAATATTTTAACAATATCAGTTAACGAATTATATAATTTGGTCTCGTTTAACAAAAAGCAAAATATATTTTTTTTATAATATTTATGCACAATTTATTAATTATTTAAACTAGAAAACTTCACTAAAGTTTGAAGCAAAAGTGGATGAAATTGGCCATAGAATTACATAAATCTGTCACGTTTTACAAACCTCTCGAAATATTCGCCTATATTTTAACAATATTAATAATTTTATACATAATTCACTAATTATACGATTGGGTCTTCTTTTATGAAGAAACTAACGTAATTTAATACTTAACAATTTTTTACTTACAATTTATTAATTATAAATAATTCAAGATTATTTTTTTGTAATAAAATAATGTTTATTGAGATTTGAAAGATACACAACTTTGCACAAATACTGCACAAATATTAAAAATGCAGCATTTGGTTTGTTAGATATTTGATTTAAACACATAATATATAAATTTTCAAATGAACATTCAATATTTTCATCATAAAATCATTTACACCTAGTTATTTAAACAATAAAATATGTTGAATTGCTTTACCTATATAAATATAGTAACAATGTTTCATAAATATTTAAAAAAAAACTATAGTGAAATAAAATTATTTTATCATATTGTTCGACACATGCAACACTTATTTTTCAAAAAATAGATTTTGAATTAAATATTGGACGCATCAAATTTTCATGTGAAAATACAATGCAATAATAATTTATCATGTGCAGAGTGAACGAAAATTTAAAAATGATTTGTTTCGTGCGTTATTCGCTCTTGCACATAAACAAATGTATAAATAATGAACACGAAATACGAAAATAATTTGTACAATGCAAATTTCATAGTTATAAATGTATATATATATATAACAATAGGTTCGGCCAATATCCCGGACTGTTTAAAACCGGACTAATCGAGGAACTAAATATATACATAAAGGAGAAATTGGACTATGTATTGTACCGTACTATTGTAAATCCGGACTGATCAAAGCCGAGGTATTTATTCTATACTTATGTATATTGTTTAATACGAGACGTATATATTGCAATAACTCGGTCAAAGGTCTTGCTGATAGTCAATATTTTTGTAATTATGAAATTTTTAATCAAAATTGCAACCTTGTAAATGTAATTGACAATAATCAATATGAATAAAATCGTAATAAATAATTCTGATAACCTTATAATCTAATAAATATTTGTAAATAATCATGAAATATAAGATTACGTAACTTAAAGACTTAAAAAATATAGAATTCTGTAACATACTTATATACACCTCGCATAGTACGGTTAATCGGTTTCGTTTTAAACCGGACTAATCGAGGATGTTAAAACCGAGTAAATATAAACTAGTAATAAAAAAGAGACTTGATTATATGAAGAAGAAAAAAATAAAATTGTTTTTAAATTTTCAAATCAGACTATTGTCAATCCGGATTGATCGAAGCCGCACTAAGTGAAGTATTGCTGTAGTTGAGAAAAATGTTGCAGATTATTCTTATAAACTAATTTAGAAATAGATTTGGATAATTCTACATAATTTTTTACTTCATCAAATAAATTACATCAAATTATATGAGTGTAAAAACCGAAATTATTTGGCTAAATTATTATTTATTTAGAATTTTAAGTTATGTTTTTGTTGAAATCATTGAATAATTCGTTGTCATCATGCGACGAATAACATTTATTGCAATCAAATGAACCATTTGAGTATCATCGAATTACGTAACTGCTTATTCAATTGCAGTTACGTTCTGCATAACAAACGACGTCGCTTAACGATTAAATGCAGTGCACGAGTTATATAATAATAACGTAGAAAATATTTGTTAATTGTAAATGTATTTATATGTACATAATTGAATGAAAATAAACCTATTTAATATAATTTTGTATGCGTATGTGATTGTTTATTAACATTATACAAATACGAGTGCCGGACATTATTGTTTATGTAAATAAATGAAAATGTACGTGGTAAATTATTTTATTCATATTAATTAATAAATAATTAGTTATTATGTTTCGAAATTATGAATAATTTTGAAATGTTTTATTAACGTTTTCCTTGAAATGTACATAATAATATGCAGATGTTCAAATATTTTATAACTCTTTCATAAAATACAAATAAGTCCTCGAATAGTGCGGTCAATAGATTCCGCCTGATATTAGATACCGAATTAAAAAAAATATACTGTATTTTTTTTGAATTTATTTTTACTTTGTTAAAATTCAGTTTATATTGAAAATTTTTCAAACCGGACTATAGTGAACCCGAATTAATCAAATCCGCACTATGTGAGGTATTCCTCTACACAATTTTGTATATATCCTATATTGATAAAAACTTAGTATTAAAATGATTTAATTTAAGTACTTTATTGTATCTATGATTTATCCAGTTTATTGAATATAATCTAAATTTGTAAATTGTATTAAAATATTATTAAATAATAGAAAAAATGATCCAAATTGGGACTAATAAAAACAAGAAGAGAGTTTCAAATGTTGTTTCTAGTTTTTAATTAATTTGAAATTATTTTTGTAATTGTATAATTAATGCAATAAACATTGAAACTTCTTTAGTTTGTATTTTTGTAGTATTTTTTTTAATTATAAAAAAAAATCTTATTTTTCTTCAGTAATAACATTTTCTTTCTTATAATTTGATTGAATTAATTATAATAAAAATTTAAATTGTGTAAATTATATAAAATTGCTTCATTATTGCATATTTATGTATGGAAATTATATTGATATTAGTTTTAGCCAACAAACTATTATTATTATATATTAACAGCGGATTATTGTATCAAATATTATTTAGAATAAATGAATTTCTGCATATAAAAAAGTTTAAGTTACTTAATTATTGAATATCTATGGTTTATTGTTGCTCTTTTATATATATATTTTTTAAATTTGTTTTGTTAACAACAATTATTTGTTGATAAATAGTTTGTAAAAGGATGCAAATATTTCTAAAAGGACAAATTTAAGGATTGAAAATGTATAAATAAAACTTTTCAACGTACCGTTCAGATAAAGGGCGACGTGCAGCAATAATAAAACGAGGATATTCCCAGGGTTTCGCATCTCTTTCACCTTGTTGTTATTACTTTTATGTTATTTATTTTTATATATATATAAATTTTCCTTCAACGAACTACTACAAACACAACAGACACCTCATTTTATTTACTACTTTGTTGTTGTTGTTTTTTTTTTCTTGTTAATTATAAAAACGTCCGATCTTCAACGATTACGCAATGCGATGCACGCAACTAGTTGTTAAGTACTACTCGTGAACGCTATATGACTATATGTACAACGAAGTGCTGCCTCGACGGGCGGTGCGTGTGTATCGCGCGCGGCTTGGCGTCCCGACGCTCTGTGAAGTTGCGACGCGGTGAACCGAGTGCTATGTCGGACGCTCACACATATATACACACTGGGCCACGTACACTTGTACACGTTTCTTGTATATGTACATAGATGAACACGCACACTGATGCAGTGGGAGAGGGACGTTCAGGAGCGGCGGCGGCGGCAGGAGCAAAGGCACTTTGTTGGTGGCGGAGGGAAGGGAAGGACGGTTGCGCGCAAGCGTTTCCACCCTTTGAAGAGGCGCCGCCGCCGCCACCCACCCTCGAACTGTTTACAATACACCGAAACACCCCCGGGGGGCAATGCATATGATTACTAGCAATTATTAACTTTGACAGCCATTTACATACCAATTCCTAGTGTACAGTCGGTCGTTCTATATACATGTCCGAACTGTGCGGCACCAATCATGTGCATAATCGGCGATTGCTGCCTGCTACGACTCGGTGTTGTTATCTGTTTTTGTTGACCACTTCAAAACCTCCGCCGACTAACCGACCGACTACCTTCATTAAAACCGCGCGAAAACACACGGATGGATATGTTCACGGATGTCCGGACGTTTCTGCTGCTAAGCTCACTCGACATACGCCATGGCATTAAATCTGCATCGACGTATTCATGATATGTTTGACATTGCACTGAAAGCCGCAATGTTTGAAGTTTATAATTGATATAAATCCGCAGAATTCCCGTTACATAAATGGTTTTATCTCACAAACACTTCCTTGCCGCAGTTATTAAAACACTTTGATTTTCTGTATTAATCCTTAAAGATTTTAATACTATCAAAATAATGACATATATAAACTGCATACTTTGATAATTTGTAAACATTATTTTATCTGTGTATACTAATTTCTTTGAATATTTCTATAAAAATACACTTTCGTTCAGCAAATTTTGACCTAAGTCGAATCTCATACCCAATAAATATAACATTAATTTCCGTTCCTGAAAAATTACATGCAAAGAATATAAAAGACATATGTACTGTTATATTGCGTTATTTTCGATTTATTTCAGTCCTGCCTTTGTTCTGCAAATGCAGACGTAAGTAGAAATAGTTGTAAGTCAAGTTTTAAACAAACATATGTAATAGACATGTGTATGTTTATATTGCTTTATCATCGATTTCCGTCCAATGAGTTTTAGTTCCTGAAATTCAAACATAAGTCGAAATAATCGTAACTTTATCTTCGATTTACTTCCGACAAGTTTCCGTACCTCAAATCCTGACATAAGTCGAAATAGTCCTAAGTGGAATTACATAAAAAAAATATAACAGACATATGTACTTTTATATTGCTTCATTTTCTTTAGATTTACTTTAGTCGTGCTTTTGTTCTGAAAATTCGGACGTAATTTTAAGTCGAATTTTAAACAGAAATATATAATAGATGTGTATTTTTATATTGCTTTATCATCGATTTTCCGTTCTTGAAATTCGGACGTAAGTCGAAATAATCGTAAGTCAAAAATATAAAAGACTTATGTACTTTTATATTGCTTTATCTTCGATTTACTTCCGACGAGTTTCAATACCTCAAATTCTGACGTAAGTCGAAACAGTCGTAAGTAGAATTACATACAAAAAATATAACAGACATATGTACTTTTATATTGCCTCATTTTCGATTTATTTTAGTCCTGCTTTTGTTCTGCAAATTTGGACGTAAGTAGAAATAGTTGTAACTCGAATTTCATACAAAAATATATAATAGATGTGTATTTTTATATTGCTTTATCATTTAATTAGTTTTCGTTCTTGAAATTCGGACGTAAGTCGAAATAATCGTATGTCAAAAATATAAAAGACTTATGTACTTTTATATTGCTTTATCTTCGATTTACTTCCGACGAGTTTCAATACCTCAAATTCTGACGTAAGTCGAAACAGTCGTAAGTCGAATTACATACAAGAAATATAATAGACGTATGTACTTTTATATTGCTTCATTTTCAATTTACTATAGTCGTGCTTTTGTTCTGCAAATTTGGACGTAAGTAGAAATAGTTGTAAGTCGAATTTCATAGAAAAATATATAATAGATGTGTATTTTTATATTGCTTTATCATCTAATTAGTTTCCCTTCTTGAAATTCGGACGTAAGTCGAAATAATCGTAATTCGATAAACTTTCGAAGAGTTATCATTTAGTAAATTCGAATTTTATATGAAAAAAATAGACATACACGAGAAATGTATTTGATGAAAATTGCAATTAGAAAATATATACATTTTTTTAAATTAAAAAATAATTTTATTCGTAATTCGAAAAGTTTATTAAAGAAAAAATGTATTTGAAATACTCGTAATCATTATATAAAAAATAGAATTAATATACAGACAGAAATAATAAAAAAAACTACTTAAGTTTAAGTTAACTTAAGTAGAAAAGTTTTCATGTAACGTTTAATGATTTAAAAATAAACTATGAAGTACCTATTTTGAATATTCTTTATTTTTATTACCGGATGTATATGAAACGTTCAATTTAGTTCGTCATGTATGGCTCATATATAAAGGTGGGTACAAACTACAATAAATCTCAAAAGTTAGAAATATTTGTATTTACAGAAATAAAGTTTTGATTAGTAATAACACATTCCTCAAATAACCATTTCCTTACATTATATAACGTAGAAAGAAATTAAATTGTGCATTTAATAATACTTTCTTTATTAAAATTTGCGTTTGACTTAATTAAGTCTAACAACCATGACTCATACATAAAACTGGGAACACACAACAAAACTTTTCAATTTGAAACGAGAAATGTGACGATATTCAACTCACTTTTTTTACTAATGTTTAGTTAAACTTAAAATAATCAATTTTCGACAAACAATATAGACGTTAAAAATAATCTCATTTGGTGATTATTCAATATCTGAAAAATCAGAAAACGTGTTTTAATGAAAATAATATGTAAACTTCAAACAGTTATTATGTAATCAACATTTCATAGATTTATCATCATTTGCAGCAAATTAATTGAAGCGTACGAGGAAATAATTTGCAGTTAAGTTTAATTGGAGCTAGAAAGTGTTATTTATTATACAAATCAGGAAACGCAGAACTATTACATTCTGAAGTAGATCATAATAATAAATCATTTGTAATTGAACAATTTTCTATCGCTGATTGAAAAGAAAATAAATTTGGACATTATAAATGCGATAATTATGGAAAATAAGATAGAAACTAAGGCTTTCTACGTTAGACATTTCGTACAAATTTAGTCCAATTACAAGTGGAAATTTATATAATTTATAACAATTTTTTTTAATACAATAGTAAGATTGAATACATTTATTGCTACTTATAAATGTAAATGAACAACACCTTTGTTAATTTAAATATTTAGCAATTGTAATTTATGATTATTTATAATAAATTAATTACTTAAATAGAACGCAAAAATCGTACTCATCAAAATTTATTTATATGTATGCACAACAGGATCTAATTTGCAAAACTTATTCTAGTAATCTGTAAATTATACTAAAATATGCTTTACAAACATGAAGATCGTCAAATTATCTACACTGTTTTATGTAAGATTTGAATACCAACCTATTGAAATCTCGTTGTAACCATCTACTTTCTGTATTAGCATAAAATGAAACAAGCGGAGAATTTCAAAAGAGAAACATGTAATACATAAAGAGTTTCTACTTAACATTATCCAATATTTATGAAATGCACTTACATCCAATCCCATATACACTTTGAATCATGTTTATTACACTTTTCCATTTCAAAAATATGTTCAATCATGTATATTCATTTGAGATTTACAGATTTATAATAATGTTTATTTTGAAAATCACATTTAAATCATTTACAATTAGATTATATAAACTAAATTGTAATGAAAATTTTTTCAAACTTTAAATATATTGAATATCTGAAAAAAATCTTTGTTTTTCTTATTTGATTTTTTTGATGTAATAACTATCAGTTATATAAATAATTTACTTTTTTTTAAATAAGAAATGAATTTATAAATTTTTGAAGCTTTTTTTTCAAACTTTAAATTTATTGAATATCTGAAAATATCTTTGTTTTCTTATTTGATTTTTTTTGATATAATAACTAAGAGGTATATAAATTATTTACATTTTTTTTTTAATAAGAAATGAATTTATAAATTTTTGATGCATTTTTTGTGGAAAAAAAAACTGTGTCACTGGGTAATTTGGGCGACCTTTTAAGGGATTACGCGACAATTTTGTAAATTGCTTCAATGTACGTCGTTTATTTATATTTCTGTTGTTTTCTTTGGCTTCCGTAATTGGTGTTAAATTGAAATTAATGGCGGTCTTTTCAAAATTTATGCACGCGCTCCCCCAACGACACACGCACTCCGCGCTGTGCGTGAGGCGACGACATGTAATTACGTAATGCAGTTGTAGAACATCGTCCATCCACAGGTGAGCCACCACAAAAAGAAAAAAAAAACATAATAAACACAAGTGGGACACAATCAAACATGACGAAAACAAAGATAAAAAAAAACAAACAGTCTAATGACGCAATTAATTTGTTTTGTTTGAATAAACAACAACAAAAAAGTGTATAAGGCTTCGTTGTAATTTCATTAGAGCTAATTAATTGGTAACGTGGATGCGTATGTTGTTGAAAATTTGCGAGGTGTCCCTTGACGAACGTTACGTCACCGTGTCACCGCGCGCGAAATTGCAATTAGTAAGCGAACTTAAAATGCGCACACTGATTAATCAGCTAATTCGACGGAGTTAATTAGCGCGGAATAGAATTTAACAAGTGGCTAAACAGGGGCGTTTTCAATAAATGCTCTCTGCAACAACTGTCAAAACGGGCATTAATTTGCATCAAAGCCAGCAGTTCCGTTCCGTTCCCATCCTACTCCTACATCCATCCATTCGCCGTTTAACACTTCTGTTCGGCCGTCCGGAATAATTGCCGACCACATCAAATACAATAACGTCTATTTTAATAGTCCTCTTCTGCACAAAGCCTAAACTATTCCCACTACAAAATAACTTGCTACATACAAAATTATTTACTATCTTCCACTTGATTGTGTACTGCTTATATCAT